AATGAAGGGTAATTTTATAAAACGTATCCTTCCTTCACATTTGAATTCTACCCGAGTTTATTCTCGTGAAATGTTCATCTGGTATAACACATCTGTTTTGGTAATGGTTCATCCTCCATTCTTTTAATACGTTCTTCCCCATTTTTTGTTTGCAATATTTTAGTATTTTATTTGAAACGAAAATACCTAATTCTCTTCCTATCTGTACACTATTTCCTTCTGTTGTGGACACTTCAGCTGCTGGACGTAAAATGGTCATTTGTGGTGTATCCAATTTACTTTTACCTTTCTTAACAATATACATATTTCGAAGTCATAACTACACATCAGTTCAGATACAGCCATGATTCCATCAGACTGTATATGTTCATTTCTTCTTGTCTTGCTTTTTAAGGAAGAAATCGAGATCGATTTTCCCTAGATCGATATATTTCAGATGCGAAATTACTACAGTCAAAGTGATTAAAGTCCAAATAACAGCCTGTAATGTATTCTAATAACAATTTGCGAGTCTTAAACATATAATTTATTCTTCAATAATTAAAACATTTGTGTGATATTATCATCGAATAGACGGGCTAATCATCCACGATTAAACTTTAATAGTACATGAGGGCGTCTGAAATGATTTAAGTTTACAGACATTCACTGTGTCTGAGGGCTACATAACCACAAACCCCAAGACCACTTGTCGTCTGCCTCAGCATTAAGCTGATGGCTTCATTTAACAGAGTAGAAGAGAGAGAGATAGATACAAAGAACTAAAGAACATCACAAAGTATGTAGTACCTAAAAGGAAACAAAAGCCACTTGTAAAACGTCGAGTTTCCAGCTGTGGTAAAACATAAAATAATGCTAATTTGAATTTCTGGTATTTTATTAGGTACATGAACAGTAACTGAATCTATTACACTAACGAAAATAGTTTTCGTTCAAAAACAGCTTTGTGTAAACTTTGTCCTTCTCTCAAACGAACCAACGTTTGCTTACAGTGCCTACATTTTTTGTTGCTTATATCAGCGTAATTATTTTATTAATTAAATCTCTCTTCGTATGAGATGATAATGTTGCGTCATATTGTGATGATTATAATTGTTTAATTTTAACCGTCTAATCACAATAAAATATTTTATTAAATATTAAAATATTATTATTACAATTAACATTTAATATTTAAAATATTTAAAATATATTAAAATATATTAAATATTTTAAATATTAAATGTTAATTGTAATAATAATATTTTAATATTTAATAAAATATTTTATTGTGATTAGACGGTTAAAATTAAACAATTAATGCAATCCTTCGTCAGATGTCCATTAAATATCGGAAAGTTATCCTCTTCTAGATCAATTGAACTTTGTTATAACAATCAATGTTGTTTCGTAAATGTATGTCGCGTATAGCGTGATCTTGCGTGGGTGAAATATTTGTAGTGGTTTTTTATAATCGGTCAGATATGAAGAGTGGAGGAGGTCTGTCTGGAAGTAATGTTGTGTTGGAACTCTCTTCGTATGCTTATCAATTACACTGTAACTCATTTTATCTCGGTTGCCTATTTCGATTCAACAGTAAAATTATTTCGATTTCGTTAAATCTCTGTTCCTCTGCTATTTTATAAATTTTCGCGTAAGTCCAGTCTTCCACATTTCGTTATTCGTTTTCGATCAAATCAGTTGCCTTTATTCCGCTCATAAAATACATTATTTATCTCTCAAGTGTTTATTCTACTGCCTGCCTAATAATTTCACTCGATTAACATGCCTCAATTCACAAAATTTTAATTCACTTTTTTTTAATCACCCACGTTTAGCATCGACAAAAACTTTAGCTGTGTACATTTTTGGGATTTCTTCCTTTACGCTCGTTCAACACGCGTGTACTTCAGATGCGTCTGACTGTACCTCATAAACAACGAATCGATTTATGTTAAAATGTCCTGACCAGTTTCAAGACAATGTTACGACAATTCTTCATTGAAGTAATCGCAGCTTCACAAACTTTTACACTCGCGGACGAGAAAACTTCCGACGTTAAAGACGGGCTACCAACATGTCTGCTAAAACATGAAACTGCTCCTGATAATAATTTTTGTCTTGGTCTGAGATTCTTTCAAACATCATACTGACTGTATATAAACATAAAACAAGTTTCGTGTGATAGTAGAATAGATGTGCATGTAAGCTTTACATCAAACTTTACTAAAACAGAAATTTTATTTCTTGTATTTCGTTCAATAATCACAAGTACGATACACACATATGAGGTCTGTCCAAAAGTTTTATTATTATTATTTAATAAATGAATTGAATTGAATTATTATTATTATTTAGTATTATTTATTTTATTTAGAATTATTAAATTGAATTATATTACTTAGGTATCGTATTTAGCCCATTTATTTGTGAAATAT